GCGCTTTCTTATTTATCCTCGGAACAATCGTATCAAGTGAGCCACTGCTCTCCCCAACGTAACCCTAACCCAAATGCAAAGCCAGCGTTCCAAAGGATAAATGAGAACTCCGTAGATGCCATTTTTGGACTCTTTTAAGAGGAAGTGTTGGGATACAAATATGACAACCTGCCATTAGATTCGTAATTCCGCCCTGATCCTTAAATTTCAGCTTTAGAAACCCTTAAACCAGGGGCGTCAAACTCATCTGTTATGAGAGCCGGATCTCACACAAATGAGACCCTTCCTGGCCAATGTTGTGCTCTTCGCCTTTTCTTTGCCAGATGTTTCCTTCTTCCCTGTGCTTCAGAGTGAATGCGTGCCATTTATGTGCATGCTCCCCAAACACGTTTTTGATTTCACTTTCCAGCAGAAGCTATTTCATAAGAGGAACCCTGCTGGATCAGACCAGTGAGGGTCTATCCAGTCCAGCATCCTGTCTCACACAGTGGCCAACCAGTTCCTCTGGAGAGGTGTGTATCTGTAAGCTGCAAACCTGCGATGATGCAGCAACAGAACTGGAAGAAGAAGCAGAAGACAGCCAGTTCCACTGCGGGCCTAACAGAAGCCCTCCGGGGGCCTCATCTGGCCCCTGGGCCGCATGTCTGACACCCCTGCCCTAAGCTGTCAGAAAGCTGGTGGAAAATATCACGTACCCTATTAAAGCAAGCTGCTGGTGCCCTCAGAGCCCTAATATTCATGGGAAGGACAATGCACGCAGTCTATGCTGGATTTCAGGTGAGGTCCCTCCTCTGCTTCCTAACTTTTCCTTCCAACCCCCGTCTACCTCCGTCCAGAGGGAAAATGGCTAGCCACAACTAGTTTACAGCGAAGCGTTGTCTCCCTTCCTGGCCAATGTTGTGCTCTTCGTCTTTTCTTTGCCAGATGTTTCCTTCTTCCCTGTGCTTCAGAGTGAATGCGTGCCATTTATGTGCATGCTCCCCAAACACGTCTAATAATCCCCAAAACAGAGTTTGCCCTTTTCCACCGCTGCAACACACCGGATTGACACTTCCATTGAGCTATCCACTACGACCCCCAAGATCTTTTCCTGTCAGGATCAACAGCAAGCAGGTCCAAACACACTCTTCAGGAAAAGTTATGCTTTATTGGAATACTGGTCTGTTGTCAAGTGCTACAGGTACATTGTTAGGAATAACGAATGGCGTAAGGGACTCGCTACATATACTCTGATGCTTCAACGAGCTAACCAAATGAACTTCAAGCACTCGCGCGGGAATTCTCCTGGCGGGACAGTACATCATGAATGGGAGACTCTCCCCACCCCCTGAGAGCAGAAATATTCCCACCGACAGTGGAACTCAAGCCCTCCCTTCTCGTCAAGGTTGCGTTGATAGCGCTGTCTGGCTGAGCCAGTTCTCACGGATGAAAGTGAGCCTCCCTTACGTTACCCACGGCAACAAAGCAAAGCAAGCATGCACGCGTACGCAAGGGTCGGGGATGAAGGTAAACAAAGAAAGCATGGCAGCTAGCCGACATCTCCCCTCTCGGTCTCAGCAAGTTCAGACCCCAATAGCCTACACTTGAAATTGGGATTTTTTTTTTGTCTCAACATGCATCACCTTTCCACGTACCAAGACAAGGAGCCAGTTTGGTGTAGTGGTTAAGTGTGCAGACTCTAATCTGGGAGAACCGGGTTTGATTCCCCACTCCTCCACTTGCACCTGGCTGGACGATCTTGGGCAAGCCATAGTTCTGATAAGAGCTGTCCATGAAAAAAAGCGCTGGCTCTTCGGCTTTGAAACGGAGATGAGCACTGCAACCCTAGAGTCAGATTCGACTGGCTTTCGAGACAGGGAACCTTTACCTTTACCTTACAGGTACATTGTCAGGAATAACTATTAGTGCAAGGGACTCACTACATATACTCTGATGCTTCAGCTAGCTAAGCAAATGAACTCCAAGCACTCGCGCGGGAATTCTCCCGGCAGGTCATTACAACATAAACGGGAGACTCTCCCCACCCCCTGAGAGCAGAAATATTCACACCGATAGTGGAACTCAAGCCCTCCCTTCTCTTCAAGGTTGCATTGATAGCGCTGTCTGGCTGAGCCAGTTCTCACGGATGAAAGCGAGCCTCCCTTACGTTACCCACGGCAGCAAAGCAAAGCAAGCATGCACGCGTACGCAAGGGTCGGGGATGAAGGTAAACAAAGAAAGCATGGCAGCTAGCCGACATCTCCCCTCTCGGTCTCAGCAAGTTCAGACCCCAATAGCCTACACTTGAAATTGGGATTTTTTTTTTGTCTCAACATGCATCACCTTTCCACGTACCAAGACAAGGAGCCAGTTTGGTGTAGTGGTTAAGTGTGCGGACTCTAATCTGGGAGAACCGGGTTTGATTCCCCACTCCTCCACTTGCACCTGGCTGGACGACCTTGGGCAAGCCGTAGTTCTGATAAGAGCTGTCCATGAAAAAGAGCAGTTTCTGTCAATAGCTCTCTCAGCCCCACATACCTCACAGGGTGTCTGTTGTGGGGAGGGGAAGGGAAAGGAGTTTGTAAGCCGCTCTGAGACACCTTTGGGTAGTGAAGGGTGGGGTATAAATCCAATCTCTTCTTCTTCTTCTTCTTCTTCTAATCAAGCCTGAACTGTCCCTAGAAAGTAAAATGACCAAACTGAGGCTATCGTACTTTGGTCACACTATGAGAAGACGAGACTCAAGAAAAGACAATCATCCTAGGAAAAGTGGAAGGCAGCAGGAAGAGAGGAAGACACAACCTGAGATGGACGGACTCTACAAAGGAAACCACAAGGGCCCCTCAGTTGGCAAGACCTGAACAAGGCTGTTAATGCTAGGACGTTCTGGAGGGCATTAATTCACAGCGTCACCGTTAAGTCGGAAGCGACTCGACAGTATTTCAAACAGGCACGAACACACACACACAACACACACACAGAAATACACACTCGGAGCCTAAGGCAGTGTAGGAGAGCCAGTTTGGTGTCGTGGTTAAGTGCGCGGATTCTAATCTGGGAGAACCAGGGTTTGATTCCCCACTCCTCCACTTGCAGCTGCTGGCGTGACCTTGGGTCAGTCACAAGTTCTCTCAGAGCTGTTCTCTCAGGAGCAGTCCTCGACAGAGCTCTCTCAGCCCCACCCACCTCACAGGGCGTCTGTTGTGGGGAGGGGAAGGGAAAGGAGATTGTCAGCCGCTCTGAGACTCCTTTGGGTGGTGAAGAGCTGAGTATAAATCCAATCTCTTCTGCTTCGCTCCATAGATGCATTGGGTTGAATCCAGCCATAATCCATGGGCACAAGGAACGCAGAACTTTTCCACCATCCTTCTCCCCTATCGATCCTTTCCAATCTCGGGAAAGGATGTGGGGTCCAAGTGGACTAACAGCCATACAGGTCAGGATGTTGTAGCGGGTATGGGAAATGGGACAACATCATCCACTCCTTCCTCTCCTGTCAGCGACCCCGTGTGTGTACCATGTCCACAGGAATCAACTTTCCTCGAGGCAGAAGGGATTGCTGTGGTGAGGGGAACACAAGATAGTTCCACAACCGCTGGCACCTTCTACTGGTGAATCGCTGGTTCCAACAACAAAATCTGTAGCAGGGTGTGAACTTTTGTGAGTCACGGCTCACTTCTTCAGATACGGATACATGAAAGCTCCTCCCTTGCCACAAATTTGGTTAGTCTTTAAGGTGCTCCTGGACTCTTGCTCTTTTCTACTGCTACGGACAGACAAACAGGGCTACCCATCTCGATCTGTATCCTATAGGTAAAACAGGGCTCTTCTTGTAGAAAAAGCCCAGCAGGAACTCATTAGCATAATAGGCCACACCCAACAGCAGAAACTCATTAGCATATTAGGCCACACCCTGACAGCACCACTCATTAGCGCATTAGGCCACACCCCCATGTTACCAGAAGTGTGGTCATCCAGCCACACCCACCTTTCCCTTCTTATTCTGTTTACCTTGTTTGTTTGTCAAAACTCAGGGCTTTTTTTGTAGCAGGAACTCCTTTGCATGTTAGGCCACACACCCCTAATGTAGCCAATCCTAATTAGTTTCTGCTATTGGGTGTGGCCTATTATGCTAATGAGTTCCTGCTGGGCATGGCCAACTCGGGAGCCAGCCGGAACTCCGTTCCTGTGCGTTCCTGCCCAAAAATAGCCCTGGGTAAGAAATATGACCATACCTTAGGTACTTGCTCCAGGTCCGTCCTGGATTTATCTAAAAAACGAAACAAAAACAACACGTGGCAACATGGCAAACGTGACCCTTTTATCGCACACTCTGCATCGCTCACCCACTGGATTCCAACACTTATTCAATAACAGAGGAACGTGTTAATCTCTGCCAACGTATGCAATCTGTAACCAAATCCGGATCTCTAGAATTCTAAAGAATATGATCTCAGCGGTTTCAGAGAGAAGAAAATGGTTTTAATTACAGCAGCCATTCTCACTTGTTAGCTGAAGAAATTGGGAAGGAGGCGGTGGGTGGGAAGAAGAACAGAAATGTTCACCCGGGCGGTGCTGGAAATGGGATCGATCGCTGTGCGCACTTTCAACCGAATGACAAAAAGATCTCAGCGAGGTCCAGAGGATAAAACAGAAGATAAAACGAACCGGCACCAACACTTTACGCTGTGCTTTATAATTATACTGTTGTGGTTTTATTGAATCCTGCGTTTTAGTTCTCTAATATATTTTATGTAAGCCACCCTGAGCCTGCCCCGGCAGAGAGGGCGGGATACAAATCAAATCAAATCAAATCAATCAATAAATAATTCTCCACACCCAGTCCTTTAGCCAGGATTTTTTAAATTCAGGGGGCCCTTAAGTAAATTGGGGGCACCCTGCCCCCCACGAGCAGCCCCACTCCCACCCTTCCCTGAAACCACTTGGCTTTAGGGTAGGGCTT